GTAAAAGGTAGTTATTTGACAGAATCTTGTTCTTATACTTTGCAATAGAACAGGAGAACACAGATTTCTTTTTAATGAACACTTATTCTATGCTTGTTTCTTTATCTAATATTTATTATGAAGCAAAGTTTTATGTAAAGCAAATCTGTCTTGCCTCTATTGAAGGAGATCTACTTGTTGTTATGCTAAAGTGCTTGTATTAGTTTTCAAAGTCTATCGTGACAAATTACCACACATTTAGTGGTTCAAAAGAACAGAAATGTACTGTCTGATAGTCCTGGAGGTCAGCAGTCTGCAATTAGTTTCACAGGGATGAAATCAAGGTATGGGCAGGCCCACTCTCCCTTTGGATGCTCTAGAGGAAAATCCATTCCTCATCTTCTCCAGTATCTGGTGGCTGTCAACATTCCTTACCTTGCAGCTGCATCCACCCTAGCTCTGTCTTGCTGGCCACTTTGCCTTCTCCTTTTCACTGTTTACAGAGTCTCCCCTTGCCTCCCATTACAGGAATACTTGTGATTACATTTAGAGTCCACCTAGATAATCCAGGAAAAACTGCCCATCTCCATTTCTTTAATTTAATCATATCTATAAAGACCAGGTCTTGGTCAAATAAGTTACCATTCACAGATTCCAAGGTTAGGACAGGGACATCTTCTGGAAGAACATTTCTCAGCTGACCTCAGTTCATCAGGATATTGGAGTATAAATTCTAAGACTATAATGGGGATTGTTCATTTTTCTTTCTTTTTTTTTTTAGTTGTTGATAGACCTTTATTTCATTTATTTGTTTTTATATGTGGTGCTGAGAACCGAACCCAGTGCCTCACACATGCAAGACAAGCACTTTACCACTGAGCCATAACCCCAGCCTCCCCATGCTTTTAACAGGTTTATTTATTTTATTTTTTTTAATAAAATGTCTTTTTGCTATTGAATAACACCTGAAGAGTTTTATCTGTATGAGAATCAGTCTAACACTGGGCTGTTGAGCTGCCCATGTACATAAATATGTGCATTAAAATGTTGACAAATCTTGCTTCACAATGTTGAAAGACTGGAGTGAAATACTGGCAGTCAGAGAAGGATGGATGGATGGCAAGAGCTAGCTGACTGAAGGAGAGGGAGCATTAGAAGATGAGTAGAAATTGGCAGCCTGAATAAGAGGTCCTAGTTCATCGTTATCTTTGTCAAATTTTTTGTTTTTGCTTCACCCATTCTCCCACTATCTTGTATGTATATTTGCACATTTGAGAGCTATAATTAGATTATTACCCAGATGCTTTCCTATTCTTTTTAGTCATAAGAATGACTATAACTGTAAAAATCACCTGAAGATTATATTTTAGTTAGTTGTCCATCCCAAAGAGAGGGTCAGGGAAGATCAAGTAATGACTTACATATGGATTTTTAAAAATTATAACATGGAGAGAAGACAAATCTCATGGAATTGCAGTAAAAATAAAAATAAATGCATTGTGAGGTTCAGTCTGTTTACCATTATGTGGGGGAAATGGAATTTTCTCTAGCTATTTTGAAGATATAACATCAGATTGGAAAAGAATAACAAAATGAGGCAGAACAGGAAAATAATTATGCTACATATTCCTTGGGGTATGCCTACATCATGCATTGACTAGTAAGTGGTTTTCTATTTTAAAATCTATCTAGGGCCAAAGGAGAACTAAAATAACACCTGAGTTCTCTGGTGAGAAAGGATTTTATAAATGCAGGGAATACGTAGTCATTAGATATTATAAACATTCCTTGAGACAAAGAAAACCGTCTGTCCATTGAATACTTCCTCACAACACAAATAGAAATTGTGACTCCTAAAAAGGTCAAAGTATATTATTCATAAAAAAATGAGGCAGACATTATATCTACAGGTGCTATAGTTTTGGTTAAGACCATATATAAACATGTACAAAGCTTAACACCACTTTTATTATTGTCTTCCTCTCTCTTTCCATCCATCTATCCATCCATCTTAGTCATTTTGAATTAGTCTTTGTGGCAAGGTTAGTATCTAAGAATACTAACCAGAAGTTAAGGTACAATGGAAAACCCCAAGTTTTATAAAATGGCTGAAATTAAAGAAAAATTATTGAAAGGCAAATCTCAAGCTGAATCAATCAGCTTTTGCAGCACAAAAACTACCCCACCTTAGTAGCTCAAAATAACTAACTTTCGTTTTGTCTGCATATTGTTGGGTGTGTGTCCACATGTCTCTTTTCTCCTACCTGCTTTGTGTTCTTTCCATGGTGATGGTGGAAACCAAAAAGACCAAGCCCAACCACATGAGTGAGTACATTCCAAGCCTCTAACTGTGTCAAATCTTCGATAAGAATGAGAATTAGCCAAAGTGAGTCACATGACCAAGCCCAAGATAAAGAACAGTTTTCTGACTCACATAGTTCAGAGCAGTCTCACTCTTCTGAGGCAGTGTTGGCAGAGAGAGAGAAAACTTGCTTTTGAATTCAAGCACTCTCTGTGTGGAACCTGCCACCTATGCTGGTACTTTCCCTCTGTGACTCTCTTTTCCAGCTCCAGAGTGAGGAGATTGGACGGCAGACATTATATCTACAGGTATAATGCTCCTAGAAGTGTACCTGACACCAGAAAATGTTTTGTGAAAATGTTTACATGAGCGAATAGTCCCTGTTTAAACTTTCATCAGGCTTAAAATTCTATAGTAACATTGAGGTAAGGCAGAGAAATAAGTGGAAAAAAATTTTAAAAGAAAATAAATGTTATTTCTAAAATTGCATTATCAGATTTCATATTCCTGCTTCTCATAAAAATACTAATTTGAAGCAAATGAAATCCTGTGGAAAACATTTGCTGTGTGAAAAGATAGATGTCAGCATGCTTTCCTTTTGAAGGAACTCGTGATTTCTGTTTAACTATGAAAACACAATCTATTCAGGCTGACATCTTTTAAAGTTCATCATGTTGACAAAAACCCCTACTCTTGTCCAGACTTGGCACATTTAGTCTATCCTGATGAGTTATAGCCTTTATATGATAACTCAATGGACCTGTTGGATATTGAGTAACTTTCATGAGTTCCCTATGGACTCTCAATGACAAAAATTCCTTTATCAACCAAAAATACATTTACCACTAAAATATCAAAATGTTGCTGTTTTTTTTTCCTAAAAAAATTGTCTGTAAACCTAGTTTTGCTATAAAACTTGAAAGAAATATATCTCAACATCTTGGTCTATTAAAGTGAGGAGGGATAGTGGAGACCACAGTATTGTTGTGCTTTGTTATGAATTCCCAGCAGATAATTTATGGACCTTTAGGCAGTGTGGCTGTTTTTATCAATCCTCTGACACCAACTTACCCTGGGAAACATTTTTTTCCCCCCACTACCCTTAGGAAACCCTGAAGACTTTTTGAAGAGATAAGGAAGGATAGGGTATTTATTCTCTGTCTCTCTGGCCTCACTGTCCTGAGAAAACAGTTTAGCACTTTTCCCCAGACCCACATGACATCGTTAGCTTTTAGAAACTGGATGTTTTAGGCACTGTCCTACGATGATTCAAACTTGAACTCTGGAACCAGAATTGCCTGTGTTTAAATCCTGACTTCACTCCTTGGGCAATTTACCAGTCCTCTTAATGGTTCATTTTTCTCATCTATAAGATGGAAGTTAGAATTACTCCTGTTGTGAAGATTAAATGGATTGGAGACAGTGAAGGTTTACAGTAGTGCCTGGCCCTAGTAAGCATTGTGCAATTATTTGCTATCATTATTATGTCAATAATATCTTTCTGGATTTATTGTTTTCTTCCTGTTGTTGGAGGCTGGATACTACTGTGGTTACAAGCTCATCAGCCTCTTTCCAGTCATTCTGTTTTTAGAAACATCCATTTGAATTTGGGGGAAAACAGTAAAGTCTTTAATAAAAGCAGTTCATCAGGCAGGGGAAATTTCTAAGCTATTTAGAATGGTTGCTGTCTTTCTTCAGCTTTGGTGTGTTTTATGTTTTCCTTTGGGCAGCAAACTCATTTTGAAATTGTAAAAAAGAGTTGTGAAGCTCTGGTCTTGCATCAGAATGATTTTTGGATGCATCCAATTTGCATGTTAAAAGTCATCTTTCAGAAACACAAAGCCATCAGTTGGGGAAAATAACCATTTCTCCGATTCAGTGTCAGTGAAGAATTTCCCGCAGCAGGAATGAAAGACAAGCATAGAGGATACATCTGATGAGAAAGAAAAAAAGAACCCGTCTTATTTATAATGGAACTCACAATGTATTAGGCACCTTTGCGGCATCATCGTGTTCTTTTCATTAGTTTTTCATGTGTTCTGCTGTCCTTCATTAAGATGTCTCATCTATCTCTTTCTGGAAAATCAAAGCAGAAATGTAAACTTCCAGGGCATATCAATAAGCCACCTGTTGTACAGCTTCTTCATATTGTTGCTGTGCAACTGCAGGTGGATAAAAAAAAAAAAAGGAGAGAGACAACATTTTAAAAAATTGAGGTGCTGCAAATTGGGTCAAATATTTGCCTTTAAAAGCTCTTGTCTTAGAATGCAAATGACTTGTTTGAAAAGCATCCTAGATGGCTTATTAGAATACAGTAAGTGGGGTACAGATTGCCTAGACATTTTGCTGAAGAGAACAGCTTGCTTCCCTTGCCAGAAAAAAAAAATCACCTTGGATACAATTAATACATCCCTAGAATATCTATTAGGAGGCAGCCTGTGACCTCTGATAGCATGTAGCAGGAATACTTAATGTTTGCAAATAAATTCCCGTTTGGCATCTGTGTTTGAAAACAAAGGCCAAGTGAGTCTGGGAGGTGGGGGCTATAGTAGATCAAAAGCAAGTGGCCTACTTTGAAGGACACTCCAGTGTTAGACTATTACACTAAAGAATCCGTTTTAAAAACAAAACCAAAAACACAAATATCATTCCCAGGAGTCTGATGGAATGCAAAAATAATCCTGCTCTTATATTTTCTTATTCCTTTCCTTAAATTCAGGATGGAGGCAGAGGAATGGAGATGCTATACAGTCTTGTTGCTATTGGGTACAATTCTTGTGTGACCTTCATCTCCATGAATGAAATGCAGAAAGTGAGTTCTATCTATTCTTGGGCAATATTTAAAAATATCTGTCACTTTCTCTCCCTATTCACAACCAGGTCCTAATCAACTTTTCTCTGGGATCTGGTAAAGCTCCTGTGTCAGCCTTCTTGCATGCTCCTTCTTACGTTGCAGCAAAAATAATTGCTGTCTCTTAAGGGTCATTTTGAGCATGTCATTCCTCTCTACTTCAGTTTGGATTTGCCTCTCCATTGCTTTTTTTTTTTCTTCTTCTTTTTCTTTTTTTGGCCAGAGGGAAAACTTCTGGGCTTATTTTTTTAGACTTGAAAAATAGAATAAATCATGAAAAGCAAAACAAGACAAAACTCCAAATTTAAATTCCCACAATCCCTGAACAGTTCCTAATATTGGTATGCATGTTTGACCTGTGACTTGTAACAAAAATACCCAACAGCTTAGTGGTTTAAAAGACAAACCTGTTTTATCATGTCTTATGACTTTGTGGATCAATAGTTCAGACAGATCTTGGCTGGGTGAACCTTCTCCATCTAGTGTTGACCAAGGTCCTTGGTAGTATTTAACTGGTGGCTAGCCTGGTCTACAGGACCCAGGACAGTCTGGACCATAGTGGCTCTGCTGGCTCCTCTTCCTCCCCCAGATAGTCTCAGGGTCTCTCCACTTGGTCTCTCCAGCAGGTAGGGGGATCCTTAGTTGGTGGCTCAGGGCTCCAACAGTGAAGAACTAGGAAATGGAACCTGTCAGTGTTTCAGAGTTGAGGAAATCAGTACAGTGTCACTTCTGCTATATTCTATTGGTCAAAGAAGTCACAGAGACCTCCCAGAATCTCAGGGAAGAGCATCAAAGAATCATGGCTGGCTTTTTTTTTTTTCTGCTGTAGTCCACCCATGGGTCACAATTGATTTATAGTCTTCTCACATGTCAACTATCCCTGTTAAGATCACCGAAATCTTGTATCATTACATCAAGAGCTGCAATCTATGTCCTTCCCCTTTTAAATAAACTTTTATTGGAACATAGCCATGCCTATTAAGTCCTATATTGTGTGTGGCTGCTTTCTTGCTATTGCAGCAGAGCTGAGTAGTTATGACAGAGATCTTGTGTCCTGTAAATCAAAATATTTACTATCTAACCATCTCCTGCTCTCTGCAAAGCATAGGATCTCCTCTTTTAAATTAGGGCTAATTATAGATTTAGTTAAAGTGCAGTTCATTGAGTACAGATGCTCTCTGTTGAGAGGCCTGTGATAATCCCACGGATCCCCAGTTTACCATGGCAGCTCAGAGGTTGAGTTACATTAACAGGCACTCCCTTTCACAAAGGACTGGCAGGCACATAGCAGTCACTAGTCCACAGCAATTCTAAAATCCAGCCAGGCACATTTTGGCAGTTCCTTTGTTATGGTCCATTCCTGCTCCTTGGGAAGATTTTTTTTTTTTTTTAACGGTTCTTGGCTCTATCCTCTGGGCTTTCATTTCTGCCAATATTATTTTTCCTCTTCTGTGTAGCTTTTCTGAAGCTGAGTAGTTTTCTGAGCCTGCTTTCTGCCCATAGAAGGCTGAGAGCCAATGCTCTATTTATTCTGAACTGTCTCTGCCCTTTCAGAACAAGTTCCTATATAAACATTTTTTGGTTTCGTAGGTATCAGTTTATAATATACTTGTTTATACAAAAGCCACACTAATATTTATTTCTTAGGTCTTTCTCTACTTTCCTTTTTCTTTTATTTTTTTGGTACCAGGGATTGAACCCAGGGGCACTCAACCACTGAGTCACATCCTCAGACCTTTTTAATTCTTTTTTTTTTTTTTTAATTTTGCTAAGTTGCTTAGGGCCTCACTAAGTGGCTAAGGCTGGCTTTGAACTTGTGATCCTCCTAACTCAGCCTCCTGAGCCTGTGGGATTACAGGTGAGTGCTACCATGCCCATTTCCCTTTCTGCCTTTGACAACCATGAAGCTTCTATGGGAGAATGCCTTTAGAATTCTAAGAAGCCCTATTGCTAAACCGAAAAAGTCTGTGGAAGCACACCCTTAAGATCCTTACAAGTCCTGCTAGGCACACTCTTAAATATTTCTGAATGGTCTTACAGCCATGCCTTGAAGTCTTTCCCTTGAAATTATGCTTTGCTGATGGCACCCTGGATTTGATTCGTGCCTTAGTTCTTTGAGAATATTTTGCTGAGAGAGAGACTGGGAATAAGAAACAACTTTTAATTTCAAATCAAGCACGTCCAGGCTTTTTCACATTTTCTCTAAATTCTGCTGGAAAGCCTGATAGTTCTTTTGAAGTTCTTCAGTCTTTTCTAATGTGTTGTCATAGGCATCGAGGGGCAAGTTGGCACCTCCTGCTTGGCAATCTCCCCAGCCAGATCTGAGTTGATTAGGTATCCTTTTTACTTTGCATATGACCACGGGTGTCGGTGTTGCCAGCTTTCCACCATTGCCTAATACTGTGTTCCTCACCTCCCTCAAACCCTTGCCAACAGTCTCCCTAGGCCCATTGAGATTCTGCTTATTGCCCAGTCCCAGAGAAAATGGCTCATATTCTAGATTTTTTGTTAAGGTAGGATCCCATTTTCAGGTACTATATTATTATATATGTTATATATTTAATGCATATTTATCGACATCATTTCCTTCTTCCTGTCCCTTAACCACAACTTGTTGCACACTCACAAACTGTTCTTCATTCCTCATTCTCTCTCTTGGATATTCTGCCCTATGATACCATGTGTTCTAAATATTTTGACAAAAGTTAGATTTGTATGTTAAAGAATACCTAAGTCAAATAAAATTGTTTATGCCTAAATTATTTCCTAGGATTGCCTGTTTCAATCTCTTTTAATGCTACAACTTGAAAAAATTGAAAGAGTAAAACAAAGGAAATTAAATATAAGGACGGAAGGTTATAGATAGTGACCTTTCACCTTTGGCTTAGTTTAGATAACACTTTAAGGAGTGCTTGGTAGTTTAAGTGTATCATGATTTAATAGCCACAACACAAACTATGGCCTTTTTGGGTTCAGGAGGGAGAGAAGGATCCATTCCCTACATGTCTTTCAACTAATAGATGCATAAAGCTGAGATTAGGTGGTAATTATGGGCCGTGTTCAAATAACTTGTTTCCGGGTTGCAAATCTGTTTTGTCTCAACAGGTTTTTGGTGAATGGTCTGATATACTGCTGCCATTTTTCTCAGACCTATTAGGGTGGTGATTCTTGGGGAAATGGTGGGTGGGGATAGCAGGAAGGAAGAAGAGGAGGAAAAGGAAAAGAAAAAATATATATCACAAAAATAATTACCTGGTAAACTTCCTGAAAATATACCTATGCCTAGAATTCCCAGTAGGAGTCGCTAGACTCCAGGGAAGCGGTGGTCATTTTTTTCAGGGCCCTTCAAGGTTTGGTAGTGTATTCATCAATTTGGCTTTCAGTTCTGTTTGATCACGCAATTCACACTTGCTTCAAAAATAATTTTTTTTTAGCTTATGACTGGTCACTGGATTTATAGTATAAAGTAGTCAGAACTTTTTAATACAGAGCTTTGAACAGTTACTTCTATATCTTTGAAGGTCTCATTTAGTACCCATCTTTCCTACCTTACAAAGGAATTTCAGATGTTTGAAGGGATGTGAAGTGCCTGCAAACTGCGAAGAGCCTTGAGAGTCCTTTCAAAGGGCTTTTGAAAGGTATTCCTATGGAAGAATCATCATCCATGTTGTCTGTGTTCCCACAGGGCACATGATTTAAAACAAAAGCACCAATTTAATTTTCAGTTGCACCCCAAGTATCGGTGACAAGTTATTCTGATTTGAGAATAAGGCACTAAACCATTGTGAAAGACCACAGAGGACATGTTCACAATCCAGCCAGGCAACTGTTAGCACCTCTTCCTAATCAAGGGTATGGAGGGGTTGAGTGGGAGTCTTGAAGATGATTTTTTTTTTTTGAGAATTCCCTTATTGTGTTTTGAGTCTCCCCAGTTTGTGGGGGAAAAAGTAAAGTGGATACCTTTTTCTCTTTCCAAGTTTAGGGAAAGGACCCCTGTGGAGTGCTAGACTTCTCTTATAGCTGTTGTCAGACTTATTCAGACTTATTCCTGAAAAAATATCTATACAGCTGGAGAAGATGGCCATCCACATGTGGCTGTGGGTGAAAGAGAGGTCAATATGGTAGCAGTAACCTTTTCAGATACCAGGATTTTGATGCTATTTGACCAGACCACAGCAAGTTGCTTTCCTGGAGTTTTTCTAAGAGTGCATGAGCATTTCCTCTGGTCTTGATAAGGCCACATGGTAGGTCACACACGAGTTAAAGGAGAGTTGTCCTAGATCTTACCTAAAAGTACTATAAGAGAAGGATGCTGAATGACCAGTGAGAAATTCAATGATGGCTGGATGTAAAGGAGCTTCCAAAAATCTGCAAAGTGTGTGGGAGCAAAGCTCAGCTTTAGACATCTGCCAAACTCACACAACACCAAGACTCTATGACCAGGACAGTACTGATGAAAACAAGATCTTTCTTGACTCTCACAGCAACTTCCTCTCCGCCCCCAAAAGGAAGCAGAGAGAACCTAGTGAGTGATTTAGAGGAGAAGTGCCAGGTGGGGAAAGAGAAAACAATGACCACATGCTCCTTTCCTACAAAGCTGCTGGCCCAGAAAGCTGCAGGAGGAGAGAATCCTTAACTCTACACACTTGTAAGTTTATTCTTATTATCTGCACATATTTATATATTTTCATCATATAAGGGTAAAGAGAAAATCATCGGGACTATTCTAGCATATTAGGGGAAAAAATAGGAAAGAATCAAGTCTTTAGACCAGGCTTAAAGGGCAGTGGTAGGGAAAAAAAATAATGTCACTCTGTTGCACCTTAGGGGTCTTTCTTTATTCAGTATGATGATTGCAAAAGATGGCCTTAGGACCTCGGGGTGGAACTTGCAGGGCTTATTACAAAGAAAACATTTGTAACCACAGGAGCTATCCCAAAATATTTTTTAATACAAGAATTTTCTTAATTATAAAAGCCATCATGGCTAAAAAAATTAGTACTAAACGAATATGCTATATAAGAAGTTTGTTCATTTTCAGGGCTTAGTTTTTTTCCTCACCTTATTGTGCAAGATCCTTTTGGCTATGGTGGATGTTATTCTCCACTATTTTCTGGCCCCACCTTCACAGATAACATATCAGTTTAACTGTTAAAATGTTTCTTTTGTTTTCAGAAATGTAGACAAAAGTTGGGAGCCATGTCATTTCAGAAAACCCATCAATTCCTTGAGAGAGAGAATCATCTATAGATAATGAAGGCAGAAGCTTTCCTTGTGCTATGGACCACATTTTAATTCCCAGAGACTGTCTTATTAATCTTCAAATGCAATATGTGAACGGTGGCTGTGATGGATTTCTCATTTGGCACAACTGCCTAGAGTCAGTGTCAAGGTAACGTTCTAACATACTCATCAGAACCAGAAGGTGATAACAGATTCTGGGGGAAATACCTTTCTGAGACTAGGAGGAGTCTGTTAGTTTGTAAAGCTCTTCACTGTTGCTATTTTTGGACACTGAGCACTGTAGAAGGTTTTCTGCAGAATTCAGTTGATTACTTGTAAAGAAGTCAGAGTAGAAAAAAAAACCTGCAGTTTTTTTTTTTTTTTTAAATCTGAGCTTTCTGAAAATGGTCTTGGGGCTTTTCCTTTAATTACATACATACAAGCTTTCCTCAAATGAGAAAGGAGTTGTGCTGATGTAAAAAAATCAATATGGACACCACTCTTTAGTCCTTTTAGCCCCTGGTGTTGTAGTTTATAGGGTGACTTTTTTTTTAAGGGAACTGAAGGAAAATTATTATTTCTCACTTTTGAAATAACTGTGGCTTACTAATTCTTTTCACATATAGGAACATAAGTTTGACTTATTCTCTAACTTTATAGTCATTTAACAGAAATTTCACTCTCGTACATGTATTTTTGGGACCCAGTCCACAATCCTCCTTCCCAAGAGCTGCACTATCACAGCCCACCCACATGAGCAGGCTTCTAAAACAGTATTTGTACATGACTCTTTCTCTTTGGCCATAGACGATTGACTGGCAGTAAACTGCTAGTTACGCTAGGTCAATTTAGTCTTTTTTATCCAGAATTTATAATTGAGATTTAAATTAAATGATAGTTGATTTTGTCAGTTGCCTTAACTGAGGCAACTCAGATTCCTGAGCAGAGATTGCTGTTGTAGGGTGGCCATTTTGAGTCATACTAGTTTGCAGAGAAAGAAAAGAATGAAGCCAACATGCTGAGAGTTAAAGAGAGGAGCCACGTGGATGAGAGAGTGTGAGAGAGGCCAGAAGATAGTTATGTTAGTCTCAATAGGTTTCCTTGGATGGTCCCGTCTTTGGTGATGCCAATGGTGGGTTTTTGGTTTTATGATATACCTTGATGTCCTCATAACATTTTCTTCTTTTTGCTTGTCTTTGGTCCTTTTTGGATGTAATGGATTTCTACTGTTTTCAGTCAAAAACTTGAGCTATTGGTCCAATTGTAAAACCAAATTTTGGCATCTCAGCAAAATGTTTGGTTGCCTTTACCAGTGGCTGACCTCTGAGAGGCATGCCTCCCACGCCAAGTTGGCGATGTCAAAGGACATACAGTTTATATACTCTCATTTCCAGTTGTTTGTGTCTTTGTCTTGAATCCTCTGTAAAGCACACTCACTTAGTATTGATAATGACAGGAAAACGGACTTTCTCAAGAATAACTTCATTATCCAGTATTATGCCTGTTGGGGTTTAGATGTGAGGTGTCCCCCCAAAGTTCATGTGTGAGACAATGCAAGAAGGTTTAGAGGTGAAAAAAATGGGGATATTAGAGCCTTAATCTAATCAGTGCATTAATCAAGTGGGTAATAACTGTAGGCAGGTAGGGTGTGGCTGGGGGAAGTTGGTTACTGGAGCATACGTTTGTGATATGTATTTTGTCCTTGGTAAGCAGAGCTGTTTCTGCTTATTGGAGCCATGTTCTGAGCTGCTTTTCTCCTCTAGCCCATTCTGCCATGATGTTCTGCCTCACCTTGGGAACAGAGCAATGGAGTTGGCCAGCTATGGATGGAGACCTCTGAAACCAAGTGTGCCAAATACACTGTTCCCCCTCTAAAATTGTTCTTGGCAGGTCAAAAAAGCTGACTAAAACATTATGTCCATCACTGAGATCAGGGCTCCTCTAGACTAAGTCTTCTCCTGCCATCAGCACAGCAGTGAGGAAGAGGAAGATTCAAATCCCACCCTTCCTACTGACTGCAGGATCTTTGGCAAACTACTTAACATCTTTAAAGATTTAATTGCTGCATATGTAAAATGAGAATGGGAGATTAACATCAAATGTAGATTAATCAAATTTGGGAGGAAAATCCCTAATGATAGTCAAAACAACTCTGAATTACCAAGCACTATATTGCCTGGTTTGTAGACTGGGGCAGATTCTGCTGGTAGAGCACTAATATGCATTGTCCCCTTCTTCTCCTAAAATGTAGGTTCTGTTTTGTTTATGAGTCCATGGTCAGCCAGCTGAAGACTACACTTCCCAGGCTTCCTTCTAATAATCTTGCTCTTATTAGAACCAGGCACTGTTTCAAGTAGATTATATATATATTACCTCAATTAATATTCAGAAACTCTATGAGGAAGGTAAATCTTACAAGAACCACCTGAGATAGGGACTATTACTATCCTCATTTATTTTTTTTTTTTT